TATACACCTCCTGCTCAGTCACTGTTGCTGGTTTGTCGTCCTTTCTTTGCCCCCTTATTGTGAGTATTCCTGGTTCTCAGGTTTTGTGGATTTGTTTTTGGATTTTTGCTTCTGTTACCATTTTTTGCTATCAAATCTGCAACTTCCTTTAGCTTCAACGTCTGCATTTGGGTCCATAATAAACAACAAGTGGGAGGAGCAGCATTGCATGTGGCTTATGTGATCTCAATGCATGGCTGCTGAAAGCTCAAATGAATCTGTAAATACATGCACCGACACAAGAAACAAATGCTAATTTCAGCCAAAAGTATTGCCTAGCCAATGAATCTATCTCTAGTTTACCGAATAAAAGTTTTTTTTTATCCAGCTAAGTGTAGCCTAACCATGCATTTTTGAATGAGGACAGAATTTGAATCAGAGGATTCTATATTTGAAGGCCAAATGAAGGGATCTTCTCAGAAATTTAACATCCAAGCTTGATTTTTAAGAGATCAATAAAAAAAGTCAGCTTGTCTGCCTAGTCACTAAATGTGCGTTTTTGTATCTTTTGGTGTCTGACAAAGTGCAACCAGTTTCAATAACATATACTCATCATTACTTTGGTGTGGCTTTTTCAGTACACGAATGCAAAGGAAACTTAACAAGTTGGTCTCTTATCAAAACCAATTGATTTTAACTATTCCATAACTGTTGGATTATCTTTTATCTTTTGATTGGCTTAATTTTGCTGTTACTAATTCTTTGCCAAAATCTTACTGACCAGAATCGTAAGTACAAACTTCGAACTGAATGTGTGGACGTTGGATTATTTTGAATAGCTTTTTATTAAGTTCCTGTTTGTCAACTAAAACTGTTGCATAACGTTTATTATTATTATTGTTAAATGCATATTGCTAAAATTTTATCATACAACTACACTGCATATTAATTTAATGATTTTAATGGCTCAACAACTATAAAACCAAAAGTAAAAACCTAGCTGAAGCAAACCAGAAATATCCTCTTTAAATGAGTGGACAATATAACATAGAAGACAATTTTTGACCTGTTTTAGATCCTTGTCTTTTGTACTTTATTAGTATTGAGAATTCAGTTGTTAGCAGTGTATATATATTAAATATATGTAAACTGTATACTTGTTTAAATAGTTTAGTTATATGTTACATATATGTTACATATGTTATTGTTCAATAACAAAATATTTGATTTATCAATGGTATATTAGTAAACAATTGTTATGATTCATCTCATTGAATACAGCACCTTTTAACAACGCAGAGCTGTATGTTTAAAATCAGCACAGAATATATAGAAGAGAAAACTTATTGCCACCGGTAGATGTGCTTTATGTTCCCAGTTAATTTGTCCAAACGTGCTTTTTTCTGTCAAACAAGTAAAATTGGACTGGCTGCAGAAATAAGAAACAGCATGGCAAAGGACCATTTAATAGGTTTAGCTACTTTAAATGGTTTTGTTTTTTCTTGTTTCATCTAATTTCTTGCAGGTTGAATATAAGCAAATAACTGTAAATTAATAATTCAGCATTTCTGAATTGGGTCAGTATTCAGGTTTCTCTGCTTAATTCAGATGGGGTTATGCTGCTTCTACCAATTACTGTGCACACCCACTCAGCAGGCTCCACTCATGGATGCTCTGAAATGGGCTGTGTTGGGCTGTGTTCCCTGTGGTCCTGTTCGGGACAAACTCTGAAACTAGAAGAGGAGGAAGAATGATGATTCATTTAATACTCATTTTTAGGGCTGTAACATGCCTTTTTCAAAAGTGAACGGATGGCTTAAAAGAGGGGAGAAGAAAACCATCTTTGTAAAAAGAGGAAAAACCATCACTGAAGAGAGCGGGAGAATTGTGGTTTCATAATCTAAGCATTTATCATTCAGTTATAAAACTAATTTAAAAGAAATTACATAAGCACCCTCAGCATGATAAAAAAAAAACAATAAAACCGCCGAATTCTGAAGAATGAGGGGTGGCTATTTGATTTGGACCTTACTTGGGATGCTTCCCTACACTCTGGTGCAGAGGGTAAAAAGCAGGCCCGGCCCTAACCAATTTGGAACCCTAGGTAACATTTTAGGTGGTGCCCCACCTGCATTACTTCACTGCCAGTTTACATGTTCACACAAAATAGTTGAATATGATTGTCTTTGACTTTTTCTTGTATTGAGGAACAGTGAAAGCATTGGGCTTGTTCTGTGGTATACTGTAGTAGTCAAACACTCTATGTTCCACCTGGGGATGGGGCTGGGCTCTTGGTCATGGCCTGGCTGGGGGTTTCTGGCTCTGCTGTGGCTCTCCAGCCTTTGGTTCCCATCCTATGGCTTTTTGTGTTTGAGTACATGGGTCTCTAGTGACTCCTGCAGAATTCCCGTGGGAATGGTGTAATGGGTGTAATGATCACGTGATGGAGACAGCACAAAACAAAAATTTGTAGGGAGCGATACCCAGGCTGGAGGAGTGGGCAGCGCTGCTCCACCAAGGTTCCGAGTTTTGAGTCCGGGGTCTTTCTGTGTGGAATTTGCATGTTCTCCCTGTGCATTTGTGGGTTCTCTCAGGGTACTCCAGCTTCCTCCCACAGTCCAAAAACATGACTGTTAGGTTAATTGGAGTCTCTAAATTCTCTAAAAGTTGTGAGTGTGTGCGGTAATGTTTGTTTTTCCTATTTGTCTCTGTGTTGCTCTGCAATAGACTGGCGACCTGTCCAGGGTGTACCCCGCCACTTGCCCAGTAACAGCTGGTGATGGGCACCAGCCAACCTCGCAACCCCAGCAGGGATAAGCGTGGCGAAAAAATGGATGGTTGGAGCAATAACCTTGCCTTACTGTTGACCAAGGTTAGCAATCCTTAGATGGCAGTAGTTTGTGCCTCACCATGCTCTGTCTAGGATAATAAACTAAAAAAGGATCAAAGAAAACATGGAGAGGGAGGGAAGCTAAGTGCAAGCAGGAAAATGTGCTAAAATTTCAGATATCTTTAGTGCAATAAATGTGACAGCAGAAGCAGGACCATAAACATCGGATGCTTAAGCATACATATAGAGTGAGCACAGCAGGTGTTAAGGGTGATAAAAGCAGTAAGGAGTATTCAGAGAAAACTAACTTTTTTCCCTCACAGGAAAAAACACGATTGCAGCATTAGTGATGCATAGGGGTTAATTACTCAGAGTAGAATATATTTCTGCGAGATGCTTCCTGCTGTAAGAAGAAAACATGTATAATTTTAAGAGAAAAACCAACCCGAAACAGAGTGGGTGAACTCAGCTTACAGCTCTCAAAAACCTGCAACTCAGCCATAGAATTGATTTCTTTCTGCAATCACAATCCTCATGGCCATACAGGGGACCAAGACATCTCGCCTGGTCAGCCAGGCCAACATTGCCCCCAACAACCCCCCTTCAGAGGCATAGACCAGTATCAGGTTTAGCAGGCTAACAAAGACACTGACCCCCAATTCCTAAGGGGTGGACCTGTCTTTCCGGTTTATTTTGCATGTTTTCTAAGCTATAACACGGCTTTGTTAGGGCTTCTCCATAAAGCTTGGAACTCATCTCTAATTGTGAAATTTGAATTGAAAAAGTTTCCTGGATGGGAGGTGAAGCGTCTTCAAAGTTGGAAAACAAAGTCCAGTTTTTTTTATTTTTTACTTTTTTGGAATGACCATGACCTGGATGACTGGGAGTCTTTGTGGGTAATGCACATAGAGTCTTTCAAGACAATATATAGTCAAGAAAAGGGTTTGCTGCTGAAGCTGGACTACTAAATCTATGTAGTTTTAGATTTAGTACTTTAAGAATAGATAATCAGTCAGAGAACAACAGAAGCAAACCTGCAAGTTCTGGAATATTTAAACCTTAACTTAAAAACAAGGGTGATAACAAAAATATTACCCCCCATTCAAAAACTTGAAGGAAAAAATGCTCAGAAAAGGTGCCGCCAGTTTAATTTGTTTGTTTTCTGGTTATACAAGGAGTAGCATGGGAACAGAAAGTGGATGGAACTCATCCTGAGATTGCCAAAGATGTAGGCCCATTACATTTCTACATAAGAGGCTTTAGTATGTAGCCTCTTGGAAGTACGGAGAATACAGACTAAAAAAAAAATATATAACAGTTATAAAAAATGGGTTTATGAATAATCTGTGTAAGCTCACTCTGCAATAAAAATTCTGACTATCACTGACAAAAGTTTCAGATTTCTGCCTCAGTCTTGATAATTCAGGAAAATTTGTCGTTAACTACTGCATTGACTGAAAAAAAAATCCCCCCACCTCCATTACCCGACTGCTGCACAGTTTACAGTAGTTCCTGTTTACAAAGATACAGAAAGGGCACAAAACACATATTGTATTATGTATAAAAGAGGAAGGTACCTTTTAGTTTATTTTGTAGACTCATAAATACAGGACCATTGAATACTTCTCTGGGTATGTAAATCTTTGTGTGGTCAGGTTACAAAAAAAAAACACAGTGATAAGTTTGGAACATATGTTTCAAAATTCCCCAGATTTTTACTTGATAAAACTACATATCCGGGAAGTTTTGTATAAAACGAGTCCCACTGCTCTCATGAAAGGCAGAGAGGCAATACTTGGTCTGCCTTTGTATGTCTGTATCAAAAATCTACTGCTTCTAAAAAGTCTACAGGATGGGGCACAATATATTTGGACCTGTTCTAGGTGAGCAAATTAAGTCATTTGCATTACTTGACAATTAGAGTTGCATATTTTATATCTCCTAAAAAATATCAGTTTTTACAATTAAACCTTAATTCTTGGTTTGCATGAAGTGTGTAACACCAGTATAAAAAGTATTTTAAATTGTTTCCAGAAAAGAAAAAGCTGTTATTCAATTCAAAGATGTAAATAAAACTCAATTTGTACAAATATTACCAATTTTCTAATAGACATAAGTAAAGAATTTTCATTAGCTTAGAAATAATATTTTATTATATGATGTATATGATGAAAGCTTAATGTGGCAAGAACATCCCAAGAATGATGCTAATGAACAAGACTTAGAATGGCTAGATTGGTATTTTTTTAGACTTGATAGGTGATAGTTTCACAGTGTGCATTTTAGTAGAAATGTAATATAAAGACAAATATGTTTCCTTAGGACAGAATTTGTCCATCACTGGTAGGGCTGGGTACCTCACATCGGTTCTTTTATGGTACCGACCGAAATGCTTCGGCCCATGGGCAGTGCAAAGCCAGAGCAGAGTGAATCATACTGCTTTCACACCGGACGCAGCAAGAGCAGCAAAATCACGTCTGCTGCTTCCTTTTTGCTGCTTGTACGAGCTTCTGACGCGCGGCTGAAGCAGCTTTGCTGCTCTGGCTTTCTGATGCGCATTGGGCGGAGCTACTCTATCCTTTATTTGCCTTGCAGCTATATTTGCTGTGATCAGTGGGAATAAAGTAGTTTTATTATGTTTTTAAGTGGGAAAATCCACCTAAAAACTTAATCAGTGCAGTCAGTTCATCCAGATTACCATCCTGCCTTCCAATGTTATTTCTGTCGGAGTCGCTCAGACCCCCACATACCAGCGGTGCGCTGTCAGTAGGCAGTGATGGGCAGAAGCACCGCTACATGTAGCAAAGCTATTAGTTTCACTACATGTTCCAGTAGCTTGACCATAGCGTCGCTACTTTATTTATCAAGTAACTTTCCTGTAGTGACGTTATCGCTTTGATCAAGTAGCGATGTAGCGTCCACAAACGCTACAAAATCCAGGGCATAACTAAGAAATGAAACCATGTTTTCTATTTTGAAACAACAATCATCCACAAAACTACTGTAAATAGCAGTTTCAGCTGACGCTCTTATAAGTGGCGTAGTAGCACAGTCACAGTAGGGTTAAACAAGCGCACCCTTTACGAGGCTGTTGTTCTAGTGACTGGAAAGGTTGCTAGGCGACGATCCAACTGCAATCTGAGAGAGCAAAAAAAAATCTGCAAGCAGAGCCTACGGGTTTGCGAGCATATCTAAGACTCGAGCAGAGTGCGGTTTGTGCGCGAAGAGAAGGAGGCAAGTGAGAGGAGAAAATATCGGTGCAAGAAGCATTAAATCTGAGAGAAGAAACAAAGATTTGAGAGAGAAGAGAAAATATTTGAGAGAGAGCGCATGTTTTGAGTGTGAGCATTATAAGTTTTGAATGCAAGAAGATGAAATTCTTTTCTCAAATTGAAATTAGAGTCTGATGATTGCAGCTCAGCAAAACCTGTTAATCTCCTATGAATTGATATCAGGGGTCTGTTTCCCAAAGCAGATTTACTGGAAACTCTTCTAAACTCTGAGGCCAAATGAATACAACACAGCACTCATAAATCTGTGAGAAAGGACATTGTGTGTTAAATAATCTTGTGCTGATCTCATAATAGTTTGTATTTTAAGATATAAAATACATTTATTTGTTTATTCAGTTCATCTAATCGTTTTATTTTACTCACTGTGAAAGTTTTTATTCGGAAATGTTTCTTAATGTTCCTTTAACCAGATTTATATTTTCTGCTCAGTTTCCATTTTCATTGCCTTAAGCTTAACTGCAGGAGGTGAGTACACTGATCTGTTTTCTTTACACTGTTATTTATATATATATACAGTATGTAAAGTCCCCTCTTGATTGCTTGATTTTTACATTTCTATTTTTTGCTTCCAGAAGACTTGATCAGATTAGCTGGTTCAGATGGCTACTGTTCTGGAAGAGTTGAAATATATCACAGCGGTGCCTGGGGAACAGTCTGTGATGATGGCTGGGGAACAACTCAAGCACAAATAGTTTGCAGACAGTTAGGCTGTGGCTATGTGCTGAGCGTTCCTCCGCCAGGCTACTTTGGTGAGGGCACTGGACCGATCTGGCTTGATAATGTGCAATGTCAAGGAAATGAAAATGCTCTTTCCACATGTTCACACCGAGGATATGGAATACATGACTGTGGACACCATGAGGATGCTGGTGTCTTTTGTTCTTGTAAGGCTGTTTACATATAAATAGCTTAACAATGTTATTTATGATTATGAATGAGACCCTGTTTTTGTGTTCACATTTAAAAGTCCTTTAAGTGGATTAAATACAGATGCTTTCAGAAGGATACAGTTTACTCTAGCATTAATAAATGTAAGTTGAGTGCTTTAAGCTACTATTTAGGCTCAGACTAGTTAGAGTCATGGGGGGATTGAGGACTCAAAAATTCAGTCTCAACAAACAAAAACTGACTATTCAACCATGAAAGTACAAGCTTTGCCTAGCAGAGCCAATACAAAATCGTCAAAACCAGAGGAAAATAATACCCAATAATTAAAAATAATAATACTCAAGTTGTATATCCTAACCTACCTTTCTATTCCATACAATACATCTAATTTTGAAATGTATTTCTTCCAAGTCAAAATGAACATAGATCAAATAAGCACCTTCCTATCTAGAATAAACCTTCTGGATGTCTAAAATGAATTCTGAGAAGGATGAACTCTAATATCAGATCCCCACTATCCAGGTAATACTAGTCATAATGACCATTTCACAAATCGAAAATAACACATTCTATATATCAAAATATATTTCTACTAGTAGAAATGTCATTACAGATATCAACTGCTAACTATTTAAAGTGGAATTCCAGATATCTTAATTTTAATAATACCTTTACAAAATGCAGTTTTAGATACTTACAAACAAATTTTGACCAGTATTTACCAGAATAATGGGGCTCCATCTTAACAAACAATAGACAAGCTGACTAGTCATACTTTTTTTATTGATAGCACTGAAGCATTCTACCTAGTCACAACATTCCTTGTCAAAATTGTAATATAGATGTTAATAACTTTATATCCGCCAGTAGAGATGACATCTTAAGTAATCTGGAATCAAATATGTACTAGTAAGAACTACATGTCAGGTATCTACACATCTTTATTCATTTTGAGTGTCTGTTTTAGCATACATTTGCTTGACTGGATTTGTATTTAAAAAATGTTAAATAGTATTTTTCGTATCTAAAATAAATTTTTCACATATTTAGATTTAATTCTTACCAGTACAAATTACGTCACTTTTTCCCCATTCATCTATATTGGGCCGTCACTTTCAGATATCTGAAATGTCTAAATACCGGTAAATATTCTAATAAACATATATTGGCAAAAATGCAATTAGGAAATCTGTAAATACAGTAGGGATGTAGTTTTTACCTGGAAGATTGCTATTTTAGTGATCTACAAATGAAACAACAGCGAGGAAATAATTGTCCTAACTGCCTGCCCAAGTGGTGTTTGCTCTTGGCTTGGCGAAATTCCAGCATGGTTAAGCAGCCAAAAAATGCATAGTATAAGTTCAACATCAACCAACACAAAAACAGTCTGCTAAATCTACTTTAAATATACGTGTATGGTAAACATCCAGACAACAATGCCCTGCGTTTGTCTGCAGTGTTTGCTATGTTACTTTACATCATATTCTTGTCTACACGACAAAAGTTTCTGCCTCTTTCTATGACTCGATTCGTATGGGAGAATTATCCTGCCATAATGCAAGAGCACATAATACTTATGTGCTCTTACATTATGGCAGGATAATTCTCCCATAGATTCGAGTCAGGGACAGCCGATGAAGTCTCACAAGCGCTCCTTGCCTATCAGCCAATGACGCACTGAGTAGAGCGATATTATGCCTCATAGAGTCCTGCTGTTATTGGTTAAGACCAAGTAGGCTGTTTGGCTTTTTAGCCAATAAAATAGGGTTTCAAACAAGGGTAGACATGGCTGGGTTGCATAAAGCAGAGCCATGTTACCGGCTTGCATAAGAATGAAATACATTGCTGAGGCTGGATCGGTGCGCACAGTTTGGACAAGTTTCGACACAGATTTTGCGTTGCCTAAAAAATATTAAAAATACAGCTCAGAAAAGACACTGGGGCTTATTTTACCTTTGAAAACAGCAGTTTCACAATTATTTATAGATTTTTTTTAATGTTATTTTAGGTTTATTAATGTTACCTCTGTTATGTACACTGATTCTAAAAAAAAAGTGGAAAAATACTTGCTTCATAAATCTTGTGTGGCCATTAAAATGCTTCAGTGTTATTCTATGGGTGAAATAGCAGAGTAAAAGCATTGGACAAAATTTGGCACAATCTCGTACTTTTGGAGAGGTTGGAGATGCTGGTGACACCAAAAGTTCAAAGCCCCACAGCTCTGGGACTGTTGTAGCTAGAGGTCTGACATTTTCTGCATTTGTGGTTGACATGATGTAGAACAAATGTAATACAANGTTTAAACTGATGCAGCTTAGGCTCATTTACTTTCAGAAACTAGAAGTTTTTTAGCTTTCAGATGATGTATCACACATGTAATTTGGGCTTACAGTTCCTTGGTTATTTGCTTTTCCATTTAGGTATGCAAAATAGGCGTGGATTAGTTCAAATTAGGTGGGTTTAATGTAAATAGAAGCCACAGGTGAAAAAAAAAAAAGATCTTTAAACAAAGAGAGAGAATAAACTCTGGAAACAAATATTTGTCTATAGTCTTCCTATTCTGTACTTTTAAAACCTATGTTTTACAAAACAGATATTAGTTGCATAACAGATTCATATTTAGATATTTAATAAAAGAGTAGATGCTTAGCAAAATACTAAGCATAGCTTAAGGTTTTAATCAAAATGTTTGAATCAGTGTGACAGTGGGGCTGATACTTATCTCCAGCAGTTTATGGGAAAGACAGGGTACACCCTGGACAGGCTTCAGATATTCCCAAATTACTGCTGGTTTTAACTAGCCTGGCCAGCCAGACTGATCCATGTTTAACTGAATTCCTGCCAGAACAAAGGAAGGAAGTCAGTTAAACATGTCAAGCCAAGAAAAGCAAACGTGTCCTAAAATAAAACAACAAAAAAAAAACACTAAAGATGTCCGTTGTTAAGATTATAAAGTTAGATCAATCTCACTTACAACATCTGGAAGGGGATCAATAAAACACTGGGCTAATCCCAAACCTGCCCCTAAGCACTAACCCTGAGAACTAACCCTCCGCGTTCTCGCAGATGGTCCACCAAATTAAGGGCCATCACAAACAACGTGGTGGGTAGGGCAAGTCTGCATTAAGTGCAGGCTTGCTGGAATTTGCTAGCAGATGTGACAGTGGCTTGATGACGGAGGAAACTCATGCAACTCATGCAAGTTTCACCAGTTTGCTGCATCTTCATGACACTGACAAAAAATCATATGTATAAAAAAATCAATAAATCAATTCCAAAAGGGAAAGTCCTCTTTGAAATAGATTTTGTGTTGCCTTAGAAACGACTGCTGTCTTTTTCCGTTGGAGGGAAGAAGCCCTCCCATTCTCTTTTATACCCCCCTACCTTTAATCAAGGCCCCTTCCATAACTGCAAGTGTGACTTTATTGCGAGTGAGACTTGACAGTTAGATGTTAGTGGTTAGGGAAAGGTTTGGGATTCAGCCATTGTTCCATTGCGGTTTTGTGTTGGCAGAAACCAGAAAGGAACAGAGAATAACGCATCATAAGGGTTCGGCTCCTGCGCTGTTATTGGTCTGGGATCAACAATGATTTACCAGACTTAATTATGCTCTTTGTTATTCAGTCTTGCTGGCCAGGCTAGCATTTTATTGCATCCTCTGGAGTTTATATTCACCTAAAAGATGATCAGATTAGAAAATCTCTGACAAAGGAAGTGTGCATAAAGTCCTAAACTGTGGCCATAAGATTGAAATGGATGTGAAATGATCTCTTTGTTTTTTTTTTTGTTTTTTTTATTTATGTAACTTCTCTACAGATAATACAATCTTGCCATATGGGGCATGCAGTGGATATGTTCAAATACACTATGATGGTGCCTGGAGACGAGTCAGTGAAAATGGCTTTAATATGAATGCTGCTAATGTGGCCTGCAGGCAGATGGGCTGTGGTCCACCATCTTCATACCATAAATACAATAACTACTGGTCTGGTTATTATTTTGAAATGAGCTGTTCAGGAAATGAAAGTTCTCTAACAGAATGTCAGAATGGTCATATTACGCAATATCATAGTGGACCCTGGGCTCAAGTTTCGTGTACAGGTAAGACTGATAGTTAAATGCTTCAGAAATTCTGTTATTACTCTTGTTTAATTATATTTCTTGTTTAATTATATTTAATAAGGAATATTGTACTGTTGATCGTTTGGGATTACCTTTAATTAATTATTAATTAATAATTATTTTATCATAAGTGCATCATTTCCTGCCTGTTAGGTCATCCAGTCAGATTAGTGGGACCCTCTCGGTGCTCTGGAAGAGTTGAAGTCTTTTACAGTATCGCATGGGGAACCGTGTCTGATAATGGCTGGGACATGAATGATGCTCAGGTGGTCTGCAGACAGCTGGGCTGTGGTATAGCCATTGCTGCCCCTCATTCTGCCTACTTTGGAAAAGGAACTGACAAAATCTGGGTTGATAATGTTATCTGTACAGGGAGTGAAACGTACCTGACCCAGTGCTCATTAAGTGGATTTCAATCACACAACCTTAGTCACAGTCAGGTTGCAAGTGTCATCTGTTCGGGTAAGGAAACACTCTTTAAATTAATTTTGGTGTCCTCTAGAAATACAATGACCACAGATATACACATTTTTACTGATTGTAGTTTTATTTTTTATATTTGGAAAATTAGGACAGCAGGGCTGTGATAATGTTTGAGAAAAAGGAATCTCTGTGAACAGAAACTGTCTTTATCTTGTTTTTAAGAAATTAGTATTAAAATATTTGTTAACATATTAACAAATAAGACTTTACACCTTACCTTCCAATTAAGGAGTTTTGTGCTTGCAATAAGTGGCCATGTTACGGGTGATCTGTGAAGATTGCTGAACAAATGTAAAGACATGTAAACAGATTTGGTCGGGCCCTTTTAAATGAACTGATTGCACGTAATACTGTCAGTTTGATAGTGGCTGTAAAAGTAAGATGAGATTCTAAGTCTTGTAATTGGAGTTTTTAAGGGTTTAAAATCTGAATATTTAGAAAATATGAGTTGAATGATAAACTTTATTGATCTCAGAGTCGACAAATTTATTATAATACCAAATATTATTTATAGTGTACTTCACATAGCTAGCATGTGCTACAAACAAAAGTAAACAATAAAATGATGAAAATAACTAAAGTTAATAGGAATATAAAAAATAAGATACCATAAAATATGAAGAATTGTTGACATATAAGTTCAGCTATTTTTGCTAGTTTTAATTAAATTGCATAAGGGATTGTCTGTTATCCTGCTACTGTCCGCCTGTATAGAAATTGGTTTTGTTTGTATTGTATAAAAACTCATAATCAAAAAGGGACAGCAGGCTTTTAGATTAGAAAAATAACTATAAGCAAGACCAGCATAACCTACTGTATTACAGATAGACACTGATAGATAAAAAAAATGCTGTTGATATGTCCAGTTAATTATTTGACACTTTTTTCAAAAGTTTCAAGCCTTAAACATTCCCCATATGTGTTGTCCTCTGTTGTTCAAGCTGGCCAAATAAGGTTAGTTGGACCAAACAGGTGTTCTGGAAGAGTTGAGATCTACTACAACAGATCCTGGGTTGCAGTCTGTAATGGGAGCAAAGACTTAAATGTAGCCAGAACAATCTGCAGGCAACTACGCTGTGGTACGGCTCTAGGTCTCCATCACTTTGGAGAGGGAGCCGGGCAAACCTGGGTGGATGATTTGGCATGTACAGGAAACGAAAGACATATCTCAGAGTGTTTGAAACCTGGATCTGTGAGACAGGACTGTGCACACAGTGAGGATGTTGGTGTCATCTGTTCAGGTATGAAGCCATTTTGATTTAATCAGTTAATCTGATTTAA